GTGGTAAACCTTATATTAGTGCATGAAACAGTCATCTATGAGGCTCCGCTCACGCGGAGCCTCATAGTTCTAAGGAGTAGGCTTGCGCGTAACATCGCGTTGCCTATCATCACATCAGTGATTATATTCCGAATGACCTTTGACATGGACTACTTCATCGAGATACTGAGTGGCTTATTTGACGGGTCTGGCATGTCTAGCGTCTGATGGCAAAGTGACTGACATGACATTTGTTTGTGTGTGGCCATAATCATGATGGAGGCCCGGGCGGCCAGACACGCTGAGCATGCTGAGCTCGATTATTTACAAGATAACCAAAAAATAACCCCAAAACAACAGCTTTTCCTAACTAACACCGTACACTACATATGCATGTTTAAATTCATTTGATATTTGTACATACAAAGCTGTAAATTCGTCTTTTTCCTTACCCCTTTCCATCCTTTTCCGCAGTGCGAGCAATCTGCACATAACACAATGGCGCCCATCATAGACTAGCAAACAGTCGATTCTGCTTAAAAGTACGCGAGCATTTGACTCCGCTAAAACTAGACGCTGCCCTCAAGTGAAGTTCGGCAAACAGTCAGTCAATTTTAGGAATATTGTTTGGCGCTCCTTGTGCTGCACAAAACATGATTCCCCAAAATGTAATAATATCCTGTTAAGTCGTGTACAAAAGTCTATTGGAAGTCATAACAATTTTAAGAAGTTATTTCTTTTCTTTTGTTTTAGGAATATCCTGCTGAAATTGTTCATACAACACAACAAACCCGAATTACTCCCCCCCCCCAAAAAAAAAACCACCAAATAATAAAGATAGAACATCAGAGGCACTATTAATCCATAAGAAGAACAAACTTGTAACAGCAATCCAATTGCCGCTAATTAAGAAGGGATTTTAAAAAGGGAAAAGGTATATACATGTACATGTATTTCCAATTATTTTAGTGCCATCCTTATAGTGTCCTAATAATGTCGCTGAGCTGACTCGACATGTTTGGTTGTTGCCAGATGAAGAGAACCGGGCAGTGCTACTGTATATGATTACCCTGGCTAATCTGGCACACTGTGTACATCAGATGCAAAAACAAATCTAGTGAATGTAGCCATTCTGAATCTGTTGTACAGAATTGTGTACATGTACACTCTAGTACTCGCTTTACTTGTTTTGCCATTTATTTTGAGATACTTCGCAAAGCAACATACATGTAGTGCACAGTCGACTCTCGTTGATAAAAACTTGTTAAGAGAAACAGGCAAATTGTTATAAAAAATACATGTATCAGAATTTGTATTAAGAGGAACATCAGTCCCATTCATTGTGCGCATAAATGCAGTCGGGACAAGGATTTGTTTGCTATAACTAGAATTTGTATTAACAGTGTTTGTACTAACGAGCCGACTTTTAATTGAGCATAGAATTGTGCATTAAGCCAGAGAAACTCAACCCATCAAACCCAAGGGCATGTTTGTTGGAATCTGTCAGGAGTACAGTACCCCTACAGTACACCAACAGTCTCGGTTTAAATTGGGTTGGAATACCTCAAAAATCAGAGTCGGAAATATGCGAGTGCAGTTTCCCATATGGTATGGAAATGCCAGGATGGGTATGGTTCCTATATAGTCGATCATGCTGGGAGTTAGGGTTTTAATTGTACCTTATTGGCAAATTTGTACCTTCATTGTATTCTAGTAACAAAGAACACCCTATGAGATACCCGTTATGCACACACTTTACTAGGCTGCTTATTCTTTTCTTAACACAACAATAATATCAATTGTACACAACTACAAAATAGTATTATATTCCAAAATTTTATTAGGGCTTATAGTGTTTCATGCTGGAACACTTAACGATTAATGCACAAACGAAAAAAGGCTGAAAACTGAGCTTACAAAAATGAATGTGAATCAACAGTTACTCTTAATTATTAATACAAAACAAAATTGTATAATCCTCAGAAGTTGAAAGTTTTTCAACGTTTGTCATTGAATTTGACCACAAATAGTAAACATTATGGCAGAATAAACACACAACTTTGAAGTCTGTACAAATGTGGGTTTGGTTTAAAGTGCATTGTTCATGTAAGTAGAGGAAGATTTTCATTGACCGAGGTGAATCTTTTTATGTTTCGTAACTAGTTTTCAAAATAATGTCTTCTAAATAACCAGTTTCTGAATGTTTTAGGCATTTTTCTCTTTTTTTCGGATAAGTTTTCAGGTCGAAGCTTATAAAATATTGCTCCAATCACTTATCATGCAAATTGGAACAGAGTCAACAGTTTGGCGAAATATGTGTCTTAAGTGCAGTGATATGCAAATGAGATGTCAAAACTGCAGGCGCATTTTCAACCACCTTTATCGTTATGAAGCGTTTGTCCACCACCTACATAATTTATTTGAAATAAGCTACTGCAAGACTTTCGATAAGCAGCCAATAACATGCATAAAATGTAACAGTTCACATCTGTTGTATCAATTTATACAAGTGTAGTACTCTATTTGTATGCAAATGCTGAATGATTTTTTTTTTTTGATTGGTTATATTGGCAGATCCTGAAAAATTTTTAAAATCATTTTAATTACATGAAAGAGCATATCGCGATTAAGTATACACTATACACAACCACTCACCAATGACCATGTACATGTACAAAGAAATGACTTTCGTATTTTATGTGCGGAATTAAAGGAGCCTTTGAGTTTTCCTCACATTTGTCTGTATCAATGAAATGCAAATTTGTCGAATTGGACAGACAACTTTTCCAGGTTTACTTGTCTCCAAGAAGATTTCACTTGAAAACGACAACCGGTATTTACTCTCTTACAAGTACAAGTCACACACGTATACATCCCACCATGTTCCTACTACACTCAGCTGAAACAAATGTATTCCGACTGCAATAGGGAATGATTTTAAGTCTAGGTACAGCCACTTACTAACACTATATGCTAACAACTTCTATACACATTTCAATTTGTTAAGATGTCCATTTGTTAAGATGTCCATTTGTTAAGATGTAGAGGATCCAGTCCACTGAAGTCTTCAAAAAAGCTCAGAGATTTTCCCACGAGGAATCACATGACCTGTGTCTCTAATTTTCAGACGAGTCTTGTAGCCAGTCGCATTTGTCCATGGCCTAAACACTGTTCGTTTGTTGGTCCTCATCTTTAGTCCACTTCCTCCATGCGAGACGCGTCATCGTCTGCTCCTTCAAGAGGTGGCATCTGCTCGGGCATTTCTTCGACTACTGCGGCATCATCTTCATCGATACCTGTCAACAGAAATACACATTTTGTTATTATTGTTAACAATTCCTTGACTCATCACGAAATGGAGGATATCTACAGATAATATACTATATTCTCTCTCAAAAAAACCCACCTGATATGCGCATACAGACTATTAAAATAAGACTAAATATTGGTTGTGCTACATCATTTTTGTCCAAACATTTATGACAAAATTCACGCTCTGATGCAATGTTTCAGATGTTGTTTCATGAACAAATTAGCCGAGTTTTGTTTAAATTTTACAGGCAAGCGAAAACTCTGAATGAATCAGTCATCATGAACCAATATCAATCCTACATAATTCCAATTAGTCCTAGTTGGTCTGTGATACATTAGTAAAGAAATTTGACTGGAGTGGGTTTTGAACCTGCAAACCTCCGAATTGCCGTTCCGGTGCACTACCAACTGAGCTATCCAGCAAATGCTTAAAAACATTGTTCGATATTTGGTCTGAGCCCTTTACATACTTCCATTAGTTTAGTTCACCGAGTGCTTGGCGAGCGCTTGTCAGAAAAATTTCAGAGCCAGAAACCAATTTGAATTAAATCGCCTCAACGCAAAATTCATCACCCAACCTAGTATCAACCAGTGATCCTTACCTAGACCCAGCTTGATCATTCTGTGGATGCGGCCGGCGTGCGTCTGTGGGTCCTCCAGGGAGAAACCTGATGACAGCAAGGAGGTCTCAAACAGCAGCATGACCAGGTCCTTGACCGACTTGTCGTTCTTGTCTGCGTCCGCCTTCTGTCGCAGCGTCTCCATGATGGAGTGGGTGGGGTTGATCTCCAGGTGCTTCTTGGCTGCCATGTAGCCCATGGTGCTGGTGTCGCGCAGGGCCTGGGCTTTCATGATGCGCTCCATGTTGGCTGTCCAGCCGTACTGGCTGGTCACGATGCAGCAGGGTGACACCACTAACCTGTTGGACACAACCACCTGAAAAACAAAAACCAACAAAAATTACAAATACTAATCCCCATTTTATTTGTTTTAAAACAACACTACCCTATCAGCATCAAATTGCCAAATAACGGTCAATTAGTTTACATGTGCCAGTTAGCCTTTGAGTTAATTTGGTTGGGGTAAATTCTCAGATGTTTTATCAAAATTTACCCATACCAAATAGAGCCCTCCTGTTGTGTCCATCATATCCTGAAATCACTTGTGGCTTTTATTTCTCATAGATTCACAAGTTGAGTTTGGACCCGGCTAATTTGGCTGAGGAATTACAGATTTGCTCCATTCATAGATGAATTTGTTTCAAGTTTGCTGGGCTTGTGATTTCATATCAGTCCAATTTATACAAACAAACTTTCTAATTGCATGCTTCAAAACAAGAATCTTGACAGTGGATACACTTGTAAACAGCTCAGTAGAATTGAGTCCATCACGGATCATCAGCAATTAAAACAGAATCTTATACATCACCGCTGTTTAGCAACTTCATGTTTGCATGCTTTTACGACCACTAAGGTGACTGACGTCTGCACAAATTGCCAGCGTAATGACCCTAACCAGCCAGGTATTGTCTAGAAACCCTGCCAAAATGCTTCACGCAACACTAGGTGAGAAGCCTGCCCATTGTAACAAGATCCAACAGGTCAACAACTGCTTACAATTTTTTAGTCGAATCCATCGTAAGTCCTCCAGTCCCAATTCGACTCACAAGCTATTCAAACGAACAGTGACAAAGGCATTTCTTTGTTATTGTTCATCCCCGTTACTTGTGATTGGAATTGAGAGGGCTTTGTGATGGACTGGACCACTAAACTGATACCAAACTGCCTCAGAGTCCACGCTTGCATTGTTCAATGGGACTAGTTCTTACCCTCTCAGAATCGGCAGTTCGTTTTGATGGCCCATTGCAATGAAGCCTCATGGACTTTTACACCTGTTGCACTGTGTTACATCTGGTTAAAGTTAGGGACAGTGTTGTTCTCGAGTAAAAAAAAACCTGACTCATGAGTCATTAGCATCAAGTCCAAGACACGATGTCGAGTCTGAGTCTTCTGTCAATGTGATTCAAGTCAAGTCTGAGTAACTGAAATTCGGAAGGACTCATATCGAGTCCTGGATTTGAGTCCTGCAACACTGGTTGGAGATAATGGGCGTACCTTTTCCACCTTCTTGTCCAGGATGTCCTTCATGACCTTGCACAGGTCTCAAACTTGGCTTTGAGTTCCTCCTCTTCTTCTTCTCTTCCTCGTCCTCGGGAAGCTCCAGGCCCTCCTTGGTGATGGAGACCAGCGTCTTGCCCTCGTACTCCTTCAGCTGCTGTACACAGTACTCGTCGATGGGCTCTGTCATGTACAGGACCTCAAAGCCACGCTTCTTGACGCCCTCAACGAACGACGAGTTGGCAACCTGGTCTCTTGATTCACCTATGAATATCAAACAAACTCTGTAATGAATGCTCTCAGAGATATCAGCAATATGAAATTTTTGCATTACATGGTAACATTTTTTTTTTTACAATGCAGCTCAGTACAACTTGGTTCATCACCAAATAATATCAGCAATTAAAACAGAATTTTTTGGCATCACTGCTGCATAATTTCTGTGTAAATTAGTAAAATTTTAAAGTTATTTGAGTGCCTCTTTCTTTAGCCCACCTGTGATGTAATAGATCTGCGTCTGGTTTTCCTTCATGCGAGAAACGTATTCCTTCAGCGAACTCATCTCGTCGCCGGAGTGAGATGTGTGGTAGCGCAGGAAGTTGGCCAACTTGGTCCGGTTCTGGGAATCCTCGTGAATACCGAGCTGCAAGAATACAGTCAGAACACTTTCAGTAAGTACACTTCAGTAGAATGCCCCATTATGAACATCAACTATGGCTCCCAAACTATATGACTGTACAACTATACCGAGCATTGGCGGCAAAATTCACTATGGAGGCTGTCACTTCTATCACGAAGGCCCCCTCAAGGCAAAAAATTGGGCTAGCTATTGTTCAGATAATGTGTCATGGGGCAGTACCCTTGCACATTAGTACACACAATGGTTTCACCATTGAAGGGGACCTCGTGTACGCACGCATATCACGGACATTTGTCTATACCTAACAAGCTTGGTGGTCCCTTTGAGTTTGTTACAGTGAGTTTCACTATAGTCGGAGCAGAAGCAGCTGTTTGTTGTCCGTGGAATTTTTTTTGAACGCTTATTTAAATTTTAATTGACAACACTAGAAACCAGATGTAAAATAAAAGGAAGAGTGTTAGAGGTCGTATAAGGTTTTAAAAGTTGTATAGGATGGAGGAAATTTCCCAACTTAATCAAAAATAACAGGCTTGCAGGAAAACGAGATCTATTCCTTATTTCTCACCTTGAAATCCCCTTTAACCCCGAGGAGTTCAGAAACATACCTTCAGGTTCTTGCTGAACTGCTCATAAAACTTCTTGAAGTCGTCCTTCTCTTCGGCAAACTCTATGAAGAGCTCCATGCACTTCTTGACATGTTCTTGCGGATGACCTTGAGGATCTTGCTCTGCTGGAGCGTCTCACGGGAGATGTTGAGGGGAAGATCCTCCGAGTCCACCACACCCTTGACGAAGTCTGTAAGCCAGAGCAAAACGTTCCCATCATTCAAGACCGCAAGAAAATGCCACAAGATTGATGTGACGAAAACAAATTCAATGGATGAAAATCGCAGTGCAATATATTAAGGCCCCATGTTTTTTTTAAGTCTTTAAAGTCCATTCATAAATACCTGAGACAGTTTACCAATTCCTATCGGTCGAGAGCCCGTCACATGGGTGGTTTTAAATGGTTGATAAAACTTTGACCGTTTCAAACACTTTTTTTCCGGTGTCGCATGAAATTTGTGAATAGCTTGAGGGGTGTTTCACAAAACATCAAGTAAAATTGTTGAACAAAACCATCAGAAATTTATCATTTTCAACTTGTTTGACGGTGGGATTGAAATGTACTTATGAATGGGAATAAAGATGTGCTTTGCCGGTATTAAATAAGTACATTTACAACCGGCTAAGGGCCCAGACGCGGAACAGGGCCAGTAATAACAGAGTGCAATGGACACGTGCAAAAAGCTAATCCCATTCAGTACTTAATTTTACTAGCATGTGGCATACAGCTTGATATTTTCAATGCACATTTGACCAACAGTGTTCACAATGTGACAATTTCAATATCACGAAGCACAAACATTTGGCACAGTGGCTTCTCGGAAATATTTTCAATTGTAGCTGGGAGGAGGTCTTTCGAATCAATTGAAAACATTCACTCTAGCCCACCGAAAAATCCCAAAACACTTACTGAGGTACTCGGGAATGATGTCTTCACAGTTGTCCATGATGAACACCCTGCGCACGTACAACTTGATGTTGTTCTTTTTCTTCTTGTTCTCAAACATGTCAAAGGGCGCCCTCTTGGGCACAAAGAGGAGAGCACGGAACTCGAGCTGTCCCTCAACAGAGAAGTGCTGCAAAAAGAATATTCCAAGAAATTAGTCCATTTGGAAATGGATGCATAATCCCGTCTTGGACTAACAAGACGAGGCAAAGCTAAAATTCCATTCAATGGATTCAGAATGGCTACACAAAGGCAAGATTTAGCCCATTCATTAGCATTATGGGCAATCCTATACAATAGCACTGCCCAGCTCCCTTTAGTCTACAACAAATCTAATTCATATGTGTTTAGTCAACGAGAGAGGCTGTACAGGATAGGTTGGCCCTCCAGGACCCCCCCCCCAAAAAAAAACGGCACTTGGAACAGGAGACCACTGCAGGTTTTGATGTAGCTTTGCAGCAAAGAGGAGCAAGTCCCTGGACATTAAGAAAGAGGTCCTCCATTGCTCCTCCTCTCAGCAATGCTACCTTACTGCTTGGCAGGCTGGCCTAAGGCAACCGACACCTAAGCAGACTGGGTTTACTCTCCTTCCATGTGCACCACCGGTAGCCGTCAATGTTGCTGTGCATCGGTGCCAAAGTGACTCCCACGACAACAACTACGGCCCGGCGCATGTTGTGCTGGAAGATCTCCAGTGTTCTTCTACTTTGTAAGGCACAAAATAATCTACATGCACCCTATATGTAACCATACTGTTTCTGAAGCTAGTTAACCCTATTGTTAACCATAGTTGCTAATCATAGAGCAAGTTCGGGCAAAGACCAAGTTGGGGCAAAGACCATTCATCAACTCATGTTTGATTCATGACGTAACTTACGCTAGCACACTAATAACAACGTACTAATAGCAACGTGCGAACGTTTCAAGTCAAATGTCAATCACAAAACTTCTGAGTCTTGGCTCCCTGCTGTGCATTATGATGTACGTGGCTATTGGTAACCAGCTATATTCCAAATATTTGACTAGAGTAGTTCAACCATTCTGCATTCCAGTGATATTACCTGAACTGTGGTTAACCATAGTCCTCGCCCAAACGTGATCCAACTTGCTCCCCGTTAGGAAAACACCTCTATGGTTCATGCATATGTGTCACCACACATCTTGGACCACCTACCTTGACAGCCAGATGGTCCTCCCAATCGTTGGTCAGGCTCTTGTAGAACTCGCCATACTCCTCGGGACTGATGTCATCTGGATTCCTGGTCCACAGCGGCTTGGTTTTGTTCAACACCTCGTTCTCTGTGTACTTCTCCTAAAAGTGAGGGGAAAAGATAATTTATAGGTAAAGTTTGAAGGCAAATAGGATCTTTTGCATTGTCGTAATTTCATGAAATGGACCGATTGAAGGGCTATTAATTTATATTTATAACCTGTTCCACTGAGCTGTTCAATGATATTGGAAAACCATGAAAAAAAATGCTGTTCACTTTCAACCGTTCGGCGGGCCGTTGATCCGACTATTGGCCTCTAGGCAGGGGAAGTGGATTGATTTTTTTGATACGGCTGTTCAGATAGAAGGGTGGTTAAAACAACGTTCAGTCTATTGCAACCTTACATGCCAGGTTTTATGCTTTTACCACAAATTACTGTTTTAGCAGCTCCACTACTGCCCTGGCATCATGCAAGCGCTTTCATGCTGAGTGAACCGGTCTATAACAGATGACCAGAATTGAGCATTTTGCTCAGGAGAGCCTTAGCCTCGTTTTTCTCACCTTGATCTTTTCTTCTTCTTGTCTTTGTCTTTGGAATCTCCCTCTTCATCTTCCTCCAGATCTTCAATCTTGGGCTTTTCCTTATCTTCCCCGTCTTCAGCTGCCTCTTCTTCCTTCTTTTCTTCCTCCTTTTCTTCCTCTTCTTCGTCGTCGCTGACTTCCTTCTCCCGTTCTTTTTCGACCTGAGAGATCAAAGAATAAAATTATTCAACACTGGAATCTGAGACAACTTAATTGCGAATCAAATTGTGTCATTTTAGTAAAGCACTTTTGCCCAATTGCACTCTGCGAACCCACCGACCCACTTTTGGAGACGCTCCCATAGAAACACTGAATAACCACTGAGTAACAACTCTTTAAGTCAGACTTCAGAGTTGGATCCGGACCTATGCAGTCAGCTGTCGGTGCTCAAGTTCAGCCCCTTAATGACGACCAATATGCAGACAGGTAAGTGCAGTTACTACATGTACATCCAGATGAAGCGTTAGACTGTGCACATAAGGTGTCCTGCACATCAGCGCTCTCACCAATGACAAAAGAGTATTGCCTATCCCTGCACAGACCCAATAACCTCACCTTATGCTACAAAATACTACTAGTAGTAAAATGTTCAAACGTACAAACACTTTATACTCGGTGTGTTACCTCCTGATTGAAAGTTGGAAAAAAAAATCACTCGGGTGGGCCTCGAACGCACAACCTCATGCTTTCTAGTGCAGACGTCTTACCACTCGACCACCGCGCTTGCGGGATCGGTTGGCTGGTTCGAATCTGATGTATTCCATCTTATGAATTATGTTACTCTATACTAACTTAATTTGCATAAGTGACTACATTTGCCAACTTACTTGAAGCGCGATTGGGTAGCCAATGAACTGGCTGTGTTTCTTGACGATTTCACGGATTCGCTTCTCCTCCGTGTACTCCACCTGGTCTTCCTTCATGTGCAGAACGATCATGGTGCCACGCTTGAGTGTGTCAATTGCTGTGGGTCAAATCATTCACACATAACTATGCAACTGCCGCATAAACCAACGTTTCAGAATTTATAATTCTTGCACTGCAGTTATTTGTGACAAAATCCACAAATTGAGTCTCGTGGGCATTCCTTTACTTTGTATGTTTTTTTCAGAGCATACTCAACTTGCCATTTTTATAATACTCTGTATGACATTCTGATTAACCTTCTCTCTCTGGCTGGCAATTTCAACAACCCAAGCCCAGCAGTCGTCAGGCTGGTGTTATTGGAAACGAACAAAACGCATAAAAAGCAAATGATCCTTTATGCAAGTAAATAAAAGATACCCTTTTGGGACTCGATTTACAGAGCTCGTATCAGGAGCTTGAGACTCCATCACGGTGTCTTTATCACTGGCATTGTTGAGGCCCTCACGTGACCCGTCACATGACCAAGCTTGGTCATACGACAGGAGACGATCGTACTAGTGGGCCAGCTCACTCGGTATCTTTTATTTACGGGATATATAATGGGACTGGAAACAAACTTTCAAGCTCAAATCCTTTATGCAAGTTTAAGAACCTACTCAGAAACTTGGGATAGGACAGCTAGAAAAAAAAAAGTGGAAACTGGACTGCCCAAGATCAACCTCCTCAACTCCGGTCTCCAAATTGGAACGGCGAAATTTTTTTACTTCAAGTTACAGTGAGATAAATGATCGTTTAAAGTTCCTTTTCGGTTTAAGGTTTCAAGCCTAAGTTACTTACTTGGAACTGATTTGACAGTGAATGAACCACCAGCAGACGATTCCCAGATATAGCTCTCATCGTCTGTATGCTTGGAATACACCGTTACCCTGTCAGCCACCAGATAGGCCGAGTAGAAACCCACACCGAACTGACCAATCATGGAGATGTCTGCCCCAGCCTGGGGAATGTCAAACCAGAGGAAAAAGCAGAACACTAAAATCAAGTCTACTTGGGGAGGGGGGGGGGAATTTACAATCACACACTATGCAAAACAGGACAGAGGTCCTGCAGGCACAAAACATTTGAAAATATGATATTAGAAATGAAAGTTGAGTCGGGAACCAAGAAAATGCATTCATATTGTTCATTCTGTCTTAACCACCTTTCAAGCACCTTTGGCTATCAACAAATACGACAACTAAATTACTTCTCGGTGTGAAAATTGTTTAAGCCCAACACAATGGTGCAAAGTCTTAAACTCTTATGTGTGTGTGTGTGTGTGTTGGGGGGGGGATGGGTTTACATTCCTTCAGACGAATGACCATTTTCATCATACTTAGTATGCTAGTAGACACTTTTCATGTTAAGAACTTCTGCAAAATTTTGCCTCGGACAAGAATTTGAAATTAAATGCCCCCTGCTTCCATTCAAAGTAAATGCAAGGTCAATGTAAAACTGAAGATATTCTTCTGAGCCCTTTGAACAAATGCTACATCCAATTATATGAGACTTGTGTGCGAAAGTCAACAAAACATCATTCTAGAAACTCATAAA